GAAGCTCTTTATTATTACTCTGCCTTTACCGAGGGGCAGAGAACTGACATACAGGGCAGGTAGAAAGGTGTTTGATGGTGTTCTGAGTTATTTCAGCTGTTGCAACTTGCTTTGCTCTTGTGGCTTTTTTTTAATCTTGCCTCTTAATGCAGTCTGCCCTGAGGGCAGGGACTTGAACTTAACCAGATTTGGGATCTTTATCTTCTCCCTCTTGGGGTACTTGCCCTCTGGCTTACAGTAGTTTTTTATTCATTCCTCAGAATCTTGGTATTAAGCATGTGCTTATTTTATACAACTAGGGATTGGATTTTGCGTACAGAATCAACTAGGTAACTTTTACCCTCTGTATTGAAAAATTACTCATGCTGGTACTTAACAGCATCAGAATGCACAGGCAGATCTAGCTGTGTGCAGAGTCTGGTCATTACAGCACCTGGTGCTTGCAGAAGAGAGGTGTGTTCCAAAAATAAATTCCTTGTGTTGCTGGTTTTATTTTCCCCGAGATGTCAGATTGTTGAAAGGTCTTTGGATGATGTGTTCTGCCCTTTTGATCAGGTGAAACTGCTAGAGGTTTGCCGTGGAGAAACCAGAACCTCCCACAGCAAGGAAAAATGGGCAGAGTTGAGATTTAGTAGAGCTGTATAGTGTTTTTCAGGGTGTGACAGGCACAGCCATAGCTGGAAATGAGGATTGTATTTGGATTTTGTAAGAAGTTGTAGATGAAGTTCCTATGTGAAATGATGATGTAAAGTCCTAGTGTTGGTTAGAAAAAATAGCATTATCTGATTAAAAGCATTAATCTGATGGTGTCATCTGTGGTTCCTGTGATGGACCCGTGATCCAGAGCATAAGTTTGTCATTGCTTCAGCTGAAGGAAGCACAGAGACTCACAGACCCCCATAAGCAAGGCTGGGAGGTACTGAAACAGCTTATGCTCTGTGTGAAACCAATTTTCTCCAGCTATTGAGCTGGAGAGGGCTGGCAAGAAAACAATGGATCTCAAAAAATAAATGTGATTAGGTTAATTCAGAGGAAACAGCATTAGATTTCCCTGCTGTGGCTGAGAATTACCCTGCAGCCCAATCCTGCAGGTCCACTGTGATTTGCACTCGCAGGAAGCATTTTCTAGTGTGCAAATCAAACCTTGGATACAGAGTCCCTGAAGCACAAGGTGAGAGATCATCTCTGGCTCACATCTTTTATTAATAGGAAGAACTGAGTGAAATTCCCTGACTCTTAGCAGGAATTGTATAGCAATCCTGGGGCTGTGTTTGCACAAGCAAATGGGTGTCTGGGATTTATCACTGGAGTGCTGTGGGTGGAAGGGGCAAAGTAAATAATATCTACCCCTTTAGACACCTTATACTGCCACAGGTTTGTAGTGTGCAGATAAGGCTTGTGTGTGCCAGGTGAGCTGTGTGTTGTGCAGAATTCCTTCAGTTTTGCCCTGGCTAAAGGCATAGTTGGCCTGTGGTTTAGCATGGTTTCATTTCTGGCTGCTTCCCAGAGACAGTTTGTTTCTTTGCCAAAGACTTGTACATCTTTGAAGGATGTTCATTTGGCTGCTGAAATTTTAACTGAAACAATGCATTTTCATCAATTTAAACTGGTCCAGTTTAGTTAGTTGAAGGATTTTGAGTCGTTCATTGTTTCAGAAATCTCCTTGTAGAGAACAGGAACACATCTGGTACAATACTTCATTCACAGATAGTAACTAATCTGAGGTAACCTTAGCAAGGCATTTGTCTTTTCTGGGACATGAGCTGTTCTGCCCCCATGAGCTTTCTATTCCCTTTTATTTATGATTAGCATTCCTTGGCATGTTTTTGAAATGTAGCAAGAAGATTTTCAGCTAAGGCTAATTTGGCTGCAGGTTATGTAAAGCAAAACCTTCATATTTTCTGAAGTCTTGGCTGTCCCCACTGTAAGAAGAGTTTTGGTGGTCCAGTAATCACAATCACAGTGTGTTACAATGCTCTGAGGCTTCTCATTTCTTCTGCTGTGAAGACAAGTGTTGTGCTAAGGTTTGCCATACTTAGAGTAGATTTCTACATCTTTCATGTATTTGTAGGAGAGAGACTTTCTACAAGGGCACGTAGTGACAGAACAACGGGGAATGGCTTCAGACTGAGAGAGAGTAGATTTAGATTAGATGTTAGGAAGAAATTCTTGGCTGTGAGGGTGGTGAGACACTGGCACAGGTTGCCCAGAGGGGGTGTGTGTGCCCCATCCCTGGCAGTGTTCAAGGCCCAAGTTGGACTGAACTCTGAGCAACCTGGACTTATGAAAGGTGTCCCTGCCCGTGACAGGGGATCAGAACTAGGTGGTCTTTAAAATCCCTTCCAAGCCAAGCCAGTCTGTGATTCTGTTCTATGATTCTATATATTTTGTTGAAGACTGGTGATGTTCTGTGTTTCAGTCCATGAAGGCAGCCCACTGGGGGAACTTCATCGCTGTGTCCGAGATGGCGTCAAAATTAACGTTCACATCCGCACGTTCAAAGGGCTTCGAGGAGTCTGCACAGGATTTTTGGTTGCATTTGACAAATTCTGGAATATGGTAATTATTGTTCCAGCTCTTGATTTATAACTGCCGTGTTGAAAACTTGAAATTTGCAACAGGTTTAAGCAAAGAATGTTTGGAGAAGATTAATGTGGCATTGTGGCTCACAAACTAATTGGCACTGGGTGCTGGGTTTCAGATGTAAGTGGTACCTCTGGGAGGTGTCCAGCCATCTTAGAGAGGTTTTAGGTGAGACAAAAGCTTGGAAGAGTTCCCAGTACCTTCAGAGGTTTTGTGTACAAACCCAGGAAGGTGGAATATCAGAAGCTTCTAAAGCTTTCTCTGCAAAACCGAATTAATTTATAGTGGTAGGTGTTTATGTTTTCTTTCACTAACATCACTGGGCTGTCAGTGACAAAAGCTTTTCCCTGTGTTCTACCTCATGAAGATCTTAAAGACAGTGGATTTAAAAGCAGCTATTAAGTATTTGTGAGCTTGGAGCTGTGAAAAGTTTAGAAATGGAGGGAAGGGGAGAGGATTTTGCAGGCAAAGCTCACAGGTTTTGCAAGTAATGCAGAAAGGACACGAGGCTTTGATGCTGCTTTTATACATCAGTACAATTTAGATGATTAGCAAACCAGCTCCAAAGCACAGCTTGTTCCTAGGATGGGTTTTCTCTCAGAACATAATTTCATAATGCTTTGACACAAAGCTGGGCCAAAGCTGCTTCATGTTTTCTTTTAATTTTGACCTTTCTTTTATCTTCTTCTAGGCCCTGACAGATGTGGATGAGACTTACAGGAAACCAGTAATGGGCAAAGCTTTCTATGCAGAACCTCAGCTCACCTTGACCCGAGTAGGTGACCATCTCCAGTTTTTTTATTTAGAATCTCCTTTTTCAAAGTAGTAAAAAGGGAGCACTGATTGATTGGAAAACTATATCTATACTTGAAAGATCTTACCTCCTGTTATTACAGATGACTCTAAAATGACTTAAACTGAGGGATTAAAACCCAACCAAAATGTTTCCTGACCTTTTTGAAAATACTTTGGCCATGGTTCAGTGTTACCGAAGTTCTACTTCATTGTCCTTATTATCAGATCACAGTTACTGCCACTGCTCAGTGCAGTATGCTAAGCTCACTCTGTGGTTTTTGATTTATCTGTTCTGTGTGGGGTTTTTTTGCACATGTGACTGGTCAGGTCCACGTTTGTCCTGGCAGGGGATGTGGCAGAGCATCACTTTGGTACTGATGCATGGAGCCACAGTCAGTGTGTGCAGCCAGCTAAACTGCACTGCTGTTGGGTCACTGGAGCTTCTAGCCTGGGTACTGTGAAACCCAAGATTGTGCATGTTGCTCAAAACTCTCTAGGATCCAGCTGCAAATGAAGTTGTTTACCAAGCTGAGAGCTGAAGAGATGATAGATGAACTTCTGAACAATGAAGGGGGAAAAAAATGTGACAGGGCTGTGCCCGTTGAATGCCATAGCTCTGGGCCTTTTGAACATCAGAGAAGCATCTCAAAAACATTGAAACAGTTTCATTGTGAGGAGCTTGCTTTCAAATTCCTGCCATTTAAATCTGTTTTCTGATACATCCCACCCTTCCTTTTTTAAAGACCAGTTAAAAATAATCAAGTTGTCATTGTTCCTTCAGCCCACTCTCACAGGGATTGGCTTTCCATCCTGTTGCTGGGAATAGACAGGCTAACCAAGACTCCCTCTCATGTGTCAGTCTTTCATAAAATCTTGTCTGCTGCCAGAGTAAAAGCAGTTTCTTTTCCAGTTTCAGCACCATGTATTCTTAGATTAATGAGTTTATACAGTTCTTTGGATCTGCTGCTGTAGCTTTTATTATTTTTCTATTGTTTGTGGTCTGCTCACCCCTCAGAATGCCCACACGGCATCTTTGAGTTTGTTTTGGGGAACACAAAAGCTCCATAATTTTTTCAGTGTACACCCTTTGCTAATGGAGGCCCCTTACTTAGGGATGCATGACACAGGGATGTAAATCTCTCTAAAAGTGTCTGACAACATTACAAGGACATTGGGAAAAGTGAGCTAATGGAGCAACTTAGTATCTCTCTCTTGCTCCTGACCAAAGTGAAATGCTAACACAGCAGTATTGCTCCCCAAACTAAATTCCTTGGTGCTCACATAGAGACACTCGTGAGCATGCAAAAGATCCTTTCGCCTTGTGTCACTATTTGACCTCAGTAAGGATTCATCGTCTTTATTGCTGGTGAAGATTCATCACTAATTGTGTCTTGTGAGCTCTGATTTGGGATCATATATGCAAATACCACGTCAAACCGGAGAACAAGTGACCTCTTTTGTTTTACAGTTGTGGTCATAGACACAAATGTTCTTTTACAGCTGTTTGACAGGCTCAAGCTGCAGGAGTCCTCGGGAAAGAAGGGAGCTGACTCAAAGGCTGCCTCAGAGGAGCTGGCCCTGCCAAATGACTCTGGGACGCTGGGGCTGAAAGCTGGGTCAGCACGAGGGAGAGCAGAAGAGGAGCGTGAGAGGCAGAAACACTCGGGCAGAGCTGGAGAAAAGAAGACACCAGGTGACAGTTTGCATCTGGCTGCCAGAGGTGAAGCTGATGTGGGCAGCAGGACTGCCCACACTGAGGGTGCCAGTGCTAGTGGGACCCGGGCAAGAAGCCAATCACGGAAAAAACGGCGACCCAAAGTGGATTATCAGCAGGTGTTCACACGTCACATAAACCAGATTTTCATTCGAGGAGAGAATGTTTTGCTTGTCCATTTAGCACATTGACTTGGCTGAGCCTTTGTCAGTGTATTTGTTTGATAGCATGACTTGCTGCTGCAGCTCCCATTGCTATTTAGCATTGTCATTGAGTGTGATGGTACCGTGGCTGGTTTCCCATTGCCTTAACAAGGCAGGGGAAATGATTGTAAGTAGAGCATCCTGAGCTTGATGCCAAAGCAGCCTCCTTTAGATCCCTCTTGGGGTCTCAGGACAAGGTCAGCAGCACAGTTGTTTCTGTGATGTGAGGGAGGTAAGCACAGATCCCACTGTTCCTTAAAAAGGAGCTAAATGGAGAAGGTTGGAAGAGAATTTTTATGTACTCTGTTATAGGAGCTACTTGTGGCACACATTCAAAGAGCTTCTGATAAGATCTCCACCTGAAATGAATCAGAAATGCTCTTTTGCATGTTCTGAGTAATCTCAAGAGGAGATTGCTGATGACACCAGCAGCTTATCTGCTGCTGTTCCATGCATGTGCTCTTTTCCAGATGTAATTCTGACAGTCATTTTGAAATAGCTTATCAAAAGGTGGAGTGACATACTACTGATGGCTACTGGCCTCTGTCATAGGTAGCTCTGTAATGCCCAGTGTGACAGAAAACCTCTTAATTGAGAACTGCTCCTGTAATGTGAGTGATGGCAGGACTGTCATTTGTTTTTCCATATCAAAGCTTCTCTTTGTAATGCTGTGCTTTGACCCTGTGTCACCAGCAAGCAGCTGATGTAGCTGATTCAGGGACCTCCATAGTTGGAGTTTATCTGTGACTGCTGTGGATGCAGATGGAATATTGTACTTTTATATTTCACCCATTTGCTACTTGGTGTAACAGTGAAGCTGGCAAAGATGTAAGGTTTTCTTCAGATGTGTTTGTGCTGAGCACACTTGTACTGTATCTAAGCACCTTCCAAGCTCCCTCTATTGAAACTAGAGCTGCTGGATCTCCAGCAGTTTTCATGGAGCAGAATTCTTCATGGGTCTTTCCTATGCATCATCTAATTCCAGTTGAACTGAGCTTTGGAGGTGTGCCTGAATATGTTTTGAAGCTTCAAACTCATCAGTGTTTTTTGTGGATCAGGCCAGGGTTCTGCAGGTCTAAACTGCTTTCCAAGAGACCTACGTGCAGAAGTTTGAGGGTACATGAAGCTGGTGCATTATGTAGTCTGTTCCCTTGGTTGTCATAGGACACTAGATTTCATACTGCTATTCCTGCATTCATCTCAGCTACCTTGTGCTTTGCAGCAGTTCTGTGTGTTTAAGGTGAACTTGGGGAATTGCTTTATAGCAGGTCTTGTATTGCATATAGAGGTCACAAGTTCTTGAACCAAGTGACTGTGCTGTGGGTGATATATTTCTGTTGCTGCACATGCAGCATTCTGCTTGCTTGTGGTTAGAGCTTTGTCTGGTGCTTGGGTGCATCACAGAAATCGTTTAGCAGGAGTTCCCAGACACACAAAGCAGCTGTTTGCCTCTGGGGGAGCCTGAGACTTATGTCAGCATTTCACATGACATGGGGCTTGGATGGCTGATGAGCTCAGCCACTGAGCTGCAAACCCAAGTTCAGCCTGGGACAGAAGTGCCTCAGAATAAAAAGTACTGTTGAGGCAAAACAGTTTCATCAAGAGTAAAAAAAATAGGGGAAAACAATGAAATATTATCTACAGCTTGTTATGATATATTGCTTTATTACTGGGCTCCCTTCCTTCTCTGAACTGAGACTAGGCACTGAAAAGACTCTTCTCTTGGAGTTCGTTTCCTCTCTTTTTGTGCTGTTCTTGTTTGTGTCCATGTGCTCTGCATTTTTCCCCCTTCTCCTGTCAATACTTGGTCTCCTCAGGACATTCTGAGCTCTGGTTTATGAAGACTGTTCTTGTATTCATCCCAAGGTGTCCTGGCTTTTGGAACCTTTCCTGCTTGGCTTTCTGTGTGGTTGCCAACTAGCCAGAACCCTCACAAATTGCTAGAAATGTGTGAAGCTAGAAACAAGGTGCTTATTTCTGCTCCTGCCTTCTCAGCAGCTTTTATTGCAAGGGACTATTTTCTTCATTATGTTTGTGGTTGTGGGTTTTTTCCCCTCCTCTGCTTTCTGACAGCTCTGTTTTTCTTCCAGCTGCTTGAGATAACTCCTCTCTGCTTTTTCCATTCACACCAAAGGCTGCTGGTTTTGACCTCTCCTCTTTCCTTCATATGTGACCAAAGGGTGTCAGATCACCCTCAGGCCTATGTACTATGACATCTAATTGAATTCTTCCTTTTCTTTACCTCATGTTCTTAATTCTGTTTGTCTGTCTTGTGCACTAGATAAAACACAACTGTTGTGACTGTTCTGGTGGCTGTACCACCCTCCTTCCTTGTCTATTGACACTTTCCCAAATTCTCAGTTGCTACTGGGAGCCTCAGTGTTTCCTTTCATCTGGAGTTTTCCTCTGAAGCCTTGCAGGTGTTTGTTGCTTCACATCTACAAGTTTCTTTGTTTACATTTTATGGAAAATGCTGGTGCTTAGACTTGCATTTGTGCCTTGATTTTTATATCATCCCTGACCTGCTCTTCCAGAATCATCACCTCAGTCAGCAAACCTGGCTAAGAACTATAGTTTGCCTAATTTTTTTGCTCTACCTCATTATTCAACTCTTCCTCCTGTCATCTGTGGAGCTGGTTAAAATTCTCTCTTCCAGTTTAGATTTAATGGCTTATTGGTTCTTTGTTTCCTACTTCCCTGTCCACCTTCCTCAGTATTTCCAAGCTGCTTCCTAAATATAGCTAGTTCCTCTTCTACAACTTCAGATCTTCCAAATATCTTCCTTTTCCCCATTTTTCTGGCATTGTATCTTTTTTAAGTGCATTATTAAAGTGCGAGTTTATGGATTTTGTCTCTTTCAAGCATCATGATTGTGATTAAGCAAGTGGCCCCATGTGTCTGTTGTCACTTGCATGTTTAATACTTCAGATAATGTTGCTCTTCAAATAAAATTGAATGTCGTGTTCTGAAATGAATTTTTCTACCTCACTTAAGTTTGAAAAGAAGTAAAAAGAAAAAGAAAATGACCCTTGGAAACAAATGAGCTTTGGGGTTTTTTAAAATTGTTTCTTATTCTTTCTTTCCATGTTTTTTCCTTTTCCAAACAGCATTAAAATTAGGTTCTTTGTTCCAAAAGCTCTCTGCTCCCAGCCCTTCCTCTCTTGCTGCAGTGCCACAAAGATGTTGTGAGCACATACACACCAAAGTCTTTGTGCTGAGGGTGAAGAGCAGGAGCAGGAGGTAGTCTGAAGAAACAGAGAGCTGTGAGAGTAAAGATCTTTGGGCAGATGTGAAGAACTCTTTGGGAAGGAGCCACAGGTTGCTGCCAGTCCTGTATTTCTAGGACTTAGCTCAGCCTGGTGCTCAGCAGTGGTTCCTCTTTGTGGTGAGGTACCAGATTACTGCCCAGAGCAGGTTTCTGAACTAACTCTGAAGGTGTTGGGATAATTTGAGGAATTTTTAGGATAATGTCTAAACCAGCAGACAAATATAAAACTTGAGAGATATTATGTTGGTGCAGAAATGATGTAATGCCACAGTGGTGGAATGTGATGTCACAGATCTCACAGTGTCCTCGTTTCTCTTCCCATTGCCAACACAGTTTAGCAGAGAGCCAAGTCTCGTGGTTACTTCAGAGTGGCAGTAGAAAAGGTAAGGCCAAAGGAGAAGAAGGAGCTTGTAAAAAATTGTGGGTTCAGTTCCTTCTCTCAACTGACTTGTCCAGCTTGTTAATTGCTCAGAAGTTTTCTTTCAGATCTAGAGAGGTACTTAGCATGTCCTCCCCAGGTGATTACTGAATTAATCAGGGAGTGCTGTTTTCCATCTGTTTCTTGTCCTTCAGTTTTTGGATTCACTGTTTCTGATGCATCTTTCCCTCCTGTATCATTTGGAAGCAGGGCAGGGTCTCAGCAGGAGTAGGCCTGATTGCCTGCTGATTTTTCCCCGTCCCTGAGGAATGTTACCCATCTAGTTTTACATCCAGATAGCCTTTGGCTAGTCTTGATTTTCAGACTATTCTCTGCAGACTTTTGGAATTATTTGGTCAGAAGAATTATTTATCTTTGATTACACAACTTTTTGGAGTAATCTGATTAAAATATTAGATGAATAATTTTGTTATTTATTTTCCTTTTCACAGTGCTAGATTTCCCTAGTTTGCTGTTGCAGTCACCCACTTGCACCTGTGAATCACTGTGGGTGAAGAAGTGTCCAGGAAAAAAAAAACCCAGGAAAAAGAGGTTTCATTTTTATTGAATTTGACAACCTGTCCAACAAACTGCCTATACTTACCCTTTCTGTTGCTTCCTGGCACTGGCCTAAATGAGACAGATGGAAACTGATTTCACTCAGTCTTGAAGGAAAATGGAGAGGCAGCAGGGACAAAAACTGAGTTTCTGAAGATATTTATCTCCAGGTAAACTTCCTGTCTTTGATGAAACAGTTCAGAGGTATAACCACCAACTTACACTATAAGCTCTGTGACTGGATAAAATTGGAAGCCACAGGACTGCACCTTTTTTCAGAGGTGATGCAGAGATTCCCTCAGCCAGGCAAGCTGTTCCTTAAGCTGCTGAGTTATATGCTAGTGTTTGCCTCAGAGCATAACTGCAGAATACTGCCAGTTAATATGAAGATGTTTTCTCTCCTGCCTGCACTGCCAACTGTAAAACAAATGCTGTGTCATCTGCAGCCCAGAACTACTTCAGTTCATGCTTTTGCTTCTTGACATTGGCTTAGAAATTTGGAGTTTGTACTATAGCAATCCTAAGACAGTTTTGTTACAATACTATGAAAAGCTACTGCTTACTAGAATAGTATTGGAAAACTAAGATATTACAGACTTTGTGGAATTTTTATTGTAATTAAGGTATTGCAAACCAGGAACGACAGAGAATGGAGATTGTTCACCCTGGAAAAGAGAAGCTTCGGGGTGACCTAATTATAAGGTTCTTGAAGGAGCTACAGGAAAGATGGAGGGAGACTATTAA